AGGGAGAATAGCAGGGAAAGGTGGAAAAACAAAATTCACTATAGAAAACGTAACCAGGACACGAATCGTTCTCGCTGACGCGTGAGTATTGACTGACTTCCTCCTGGGCAGAGCACAATCCCCCAACTAACCCATGTCCTTTTCCAGGAACAAAGATAACCTAAATTTTATGCAACTGCTGTAGAGCAGTGGGAAGACAAATCATTTAAGTGTTATTTTTAACAAATGCTATTTGAGTATTTGACCTTTTGGTCTGAGAATGATGGGTGTTACCAGTACACATAGAATTGAGTAATGCCCCAAAGCACAAGAACAACTTCTTACAAATAACCCAAGTTGATCCCACTGACCCTAGAACCTTTTCCTCCTAAAGCTGCTACTGCTAAACTTTCAAATTGTAAAAATCTATTTTAAAAAGGATTTAGAAGAGCACAGGGTTTATACTGCAGGTTTTCTGGTTTTGAGGTTGTTTCTATTTACAAGTGTAGAAAAGGCACTAGTACACTAATCTGAAATTCCAGCTTTATTAACTATGTAGTAACAGAAGGTTTTTTCCCCTCATTAACTGCTGCTACTTTGGTTTTTACAGAAAAATTCACATTTTGGGATCTTTTCAGAACATTAAAATGGCACGAACAGCAATTTGCAATCTAATTTTAGGTGAGTCCTGTTATCTAATCTTCTCCTTTGCATACAGATATATCTTGCTGTTTGAGAAACTGCTTTCTGTGCTGTGTTAACTTTCTCCCCTGGTGGCCCATAGCTGCATTTGGAGCAGGTAGCTTGCTAGGAGTTGTCTTGTTTGGGTAAGAATCAGGGAGCCCAGCACTTTGATTCTGTCTCCAAAGCCCTGTCTGGGGTGTGGGAGGAAGAGACTTTCTGCTCTTTGATTCAGCCTGTAGCATTCCCTGCAGACTATCTGGAATGCACTGTCTAGAAGATGCCAAAGGGGACAACCCAACCCACACTGGCACCAACAGTTCAACTCTGCACTTGCAACCATAGGCTGCAAGGTGGTGGCTAACCTTGACCATCCTTCTCAGCTGTGGGCTTATCACAGACCTGACAGCACAACATGTATTTCTGTAACACACACACACACACACACACATTATCTTGTTTACTGACTGAGTTCGTGCTTTCTTCTGCAGGAAGTCCTCCATCAAAAGTTTATGGCAATATTAGGGCAGTGGCCAGCAGAGCAACTGAAAGGTTCTGAGCTGCAGCACAGCTGTACCACCAAGGACCGGGGCTGGGAGTTGCGTTTTCTGTACACACAAGAGGCCTGGAGCTACAGAAGCATTGAGTCTTCTCCTTGATTTGGAAGCCCAGAAGAAAACTGGGACTGTTCCTGCAGTCTGATTTCCTTCAGACATGCTGCCCTATTTCAACACACCTGATATTTCTGTATAGTCATTAAAAGTCATTTTAAAGTGGTTGTGTCTATCAGAAGTACGAATACCTGATTTTACTTATCCTCAAACAAAACCATGCTTCATTACTGACTCTGAATATCAAAGTATCAAGAAACTGCTGTCGGAACTTCAGAAAGCCTTTAACGTTTTGAGCCTAAAGGGAATCAGCATAGTTGAGTGTTTATAACCACACATCAGTTCATTATCCTCCTGGAAAGAGGAGTCAACTGGAACACAAAGTTCAAAAGCAAGCTACCCACCGAATCGCTGCTACTTATGGAAGAGCACATGAAAACGGTAAGATGAGAGAGAGGTAAATACCGTATCTACACTTAATCCTAGAATCTGCACCTATAGATTTTTTTTTTATTCTCTTGAAAATGGTCTGTATAAGGCAGCCTTGTGAAGCCAAGAGCCATTTTCCACCAGAGGAAAAGAACTGGCAAGTGCCGAGTATCTGCCTTCTTAAAATGCTATGTGCATGCAACAGAGTAGAGAGACAAGAGACCTGTCACGTCCCCATTTAATTTAAACAAGCCAGACTTGTTCCAAAGTCTCTTGCTGGTTAGCACATTTTCAGTTCAGGCTTTTGAATGAAAAAGCTTAATTGAGATTACCAAAAACATTAGGAAATCGAGCAAACATTTCTCTCGGTGTCCAAGTTTCCAGTGCAGCACTTCATTAGGAAGAATCTTTTCACTAGGAGAGTGCTGAGGCACTGGCACAGGTGGCCCAGAGGAGCTGTGGCTGCCCCATCCCTGGCAGTGGTCAAGGCCTGGCTGGACAGGGCTTTGAGCAACCTGGTCTAGTGGAAGGTGTCCCTGACGGTGGCACAAAGGTTCAAACTAGATAGTATTTAAGGTCACTTCAACCCAAAGCATTCTATTGATTATAGCCAAATTCATTCAAGTCTTCAGTTGCTACAAGGTTTAAGACTTGCCATGTTACTTAAATGTACAGCTCCTGGCAATATGAGCTACACAGGGGAGATCGTGTCCATTGAGCAGCTGAAGGTAAGAAGAGCACTACCTGGTTAGCAACATTTTGTTTGTTCATTAGCTGCTTATGTCCTTTCATCTCAATTAGCTCAAAAGATAAGAAGGGAGAGTGAGGGAAGGACATACAAAAGCAACCTGATCTTCACCCTAAAGCAGCTGCATGCCCATACTCACCAAAAGCAGCAGAAAGGAAGAGAGAAACGCAGAGGAGGGCCCAGATAACTGCATTACAAAGAGCAATAGCAAACGGCTTCCGTAAGGGATGTACCTACTACAGCGAGGATTAATTCCACCAGCAGAGGTCTCACACCTTCCCTTGAGAAAGGAGCTGCCTTTAATTCTCCACCTACATTCAAGGTTAGGGCTTTGTTTTTTAAACCACTTTCCACTTAGCCCAACCATTCTGAATTTAGCAGGATTTAAACCAAGGTATTTTATCTAATTTGGACATTTAGCAAAAAGAACCAGATGTGCCTTTAGTAAAAACACACACATAAGTGGTCCTGAAACACTGAAATAAAGCCCGGAATTATTCAGGAGGCTGTCTGGACCCTATGCAGTTTTTCCAGTAAACCTTTATAACTGAAGAGGGAACAACTACAAACAGCAGTTTTGTTTTCTTTAGAGCAGGCTGCAGCGCTGCTTGAAGTTGAAAGGGAAGATCCAGGTAAATACTGAAGCAGCTCAGCCAAGGTTCAAATATTTTATTTTGTATTCATGTAGTATGAAGGTTCTTATAGTTCCCACAACGTATGATGGAGCATGCAGAGGAAAAACTAAACATTCAACATAAATCAGTTTTCCCCACACAAACTGAAAAAAAAAAAAAATCCAAAAATAAAAACCCCAAAGAAGAAAAAAACAGAACAAAAAAAAAATTGAAAAAAAAAAAACAAAACAAAACCCAACCAACCTCATCCCTCCCCTTCCAACCCCCCTAAGGAAATAACATAAGCACTAATTTCTAGAATGCCAGCCAAGATATGCACAAGCAAGTAAGAGAAATCAAAAGCATTTGCTAAATGTTTGTAACAAATACTTATGTACAAAAAATTCACAAAAGACTAGTTCCCCCTCGAAGCAGAGCACATGGCAGTTGACACTGGAACAGATACAACCACTGGCTGGGATTATAAACCACGTACTGATCCAGAGGAAGAAAAGTTACATGTAGTGGAGATTTTTGTTTTGAACATTAACATTTACCAAAGTTTGGCAACATTTACCTTTTAAATTATGCAAATTATGTAAACAAGAGGAACATTTCAAATCGATCTACATGCAAAACTTTATGTCATGCAAGGACACCAAGCACCTGGATTTCTCTCTCACAGACAGAGCCCATGATGTGCAGCACTCAGTTGAAGGAACAGCTATGGCAGATAGGTGCTCGACTGAAGTAGGTTCAGACAACCTGCACTTCCCACTGCTGATTATAAAACAATTTTTTTTCTCTTTAATAGAAAAACTACTATACAGGAAAGATGAACTGTCCTAAAAAAATCTAGCAAATGTTTTTCTTCCAGCCAATAGTACCACTGCAGAAAAGGGAAGGGATGATATAAAGTTGTAAAACATGGCTCACTACTTTTATATCACACAAATATATCAAGTTACCATCCGTTACAAATCATGATATGGACAAATCTAGAAAAGAAAATAATTCCCCAGGCAAAGGGCTGGAGAACCGCAAGAGGTATAAATTTAGATAGTGTGAAGTTTTCCTCCTCTATGGCATAGGTTAACAAGATTTTCCCCCTGTATGAATCCTATATACATATATATATATATAAAATATTACCAGTTATTTATGCTACCTGTAGTATTCTTTAAACGCAGAGGGGAAACTATCATGGTTGAAAAACAGAATTTAAATGGCAAGAACATTTTCTAATGTAAGTGCTGTAGAAAATAAGTAGATGGGAATCCTGCAGAGTTACATCAATCCTAATTTCATTAAGCTAAGCACAAGAAAAAAATCATGGATGTGTCTAACACCTTGAGCAGCTGTTATCTAAAATGAATCCAGAACAGCAGATCTGCCTTTGCTTCAGGGCAGCTGTAACTGCTCCCAATTCCTAGATGACGAAATCTAGCGGCCATCAAAGCATTCCACAGTTACTATATGCACGAGGGCTAGTTCTTGGCAGTAGCATTAAACTATATTCTCATATTAAGTAGAACTGTACTAAGTTATTTAGCAAAGAGACACAGTCCCTGGTAATATATTAACAGGTATAAATAAACTTAGTCTCCTGTGTTACAAAAAATGTAATTAAGGTGAATTAATAAGAAGCAATGCTTTGTCAGCCAGTCAATATATAGAAACATCTGAACAGTCACAGGAAAAGGAAAAGAGCTGACCTAACACCCAGTTAAAATTTTACATTCTTCTACTATATATATAAAACTGTGTGAAATAAAAGTAAGGATGTATATCCATATATTGAACTGTTAATATTCTGCTTGGCACTTTGTACTCTAGTTTTGTTTCTGAATCAAGTATATTAAATTAAAGCCCACCTAGCTACTACATATAGAAAGCTACATATATATCTATATATAAATACACACACACATATATATATATAGATAGATATTTCCTTGTTATAAAAGATGAAGAAAAATAAATTAAAAAGCCAACCCCTTCCCTTTCTCCACCACACTGATATGCTCTTTCCATCTTTGCTGTCCTTCAGACTTTAAAGTGCTACACTGAGTTATTGAGAGAATAAAAGTTCAATAACACTTAGTTGGCTTCATGAGGCTCATGTTGGAAAATGTGGCTTCACAGAGAAAATACTTCCATTTAAATACACAGAGAGCATTGCTGGACGTCTTGAGCAGATCTTCAGAGATGGAGAAGAAAGCAAAAGTGTTGGGTGGTGCCCTACAGAGTCACACATCTACCACCATCTTTTTGTGGATATCTAGGCCTCCTACAACCTGGGAGAAGAAAAGTTGTTTGTAAGTAGGTGAGAACTGAAAAATCAGCAACACACAAAGAACACACTTTATTCACAAGATGCACTCAGGGTGATCATAATTACAGTACTTCCCTGGCCTCCCCAAAATAATTTGCATCTCAAGCACTGCGAGATACATGAATGAATTATGTATGAACCAAAGTAGTTGTATTAGTACGATCTACACACTCAGGGGGCTGAAAAACAGTCTAAATTACACCATTTTGGCTTTTCCCCTCCAACTCATTCTGACTTCGTATTATGTTTCTGTATGTTAAATGAAATGCTGACTTGACTTCTGAAACATCCTGTAAAACTGTGCCTCTGCACAGGGCCTTAGGAAAGGCAGCAAGATTGCTGACAAAACTGCACGCACCCAAAAAGGAATTACCAGTGTTCAAAGGCACACGATTCATGCACAGAGAAAGGAAAGGAAAAGGTGCGAGGTCAGAGGAACTCTTGTAATGGAGACAAATTTCAAAGGCCAAATAGTATTGCCAGATGTGACAAACAGAAATATTTTTGTAGCTAGATGGCACAAAATTCAAGAAGCTAAACTGCAAGAACAAGAGATCATAGGAATGAAAGGCGTCTTGTCAGGAGGTCAACAAAAACTGAAGAAACTAAAATCCCAATAAGCTAGGAAAATCAAGCCATAGTACAAGACAAGGAGTCTGGGCAGAAGCTGGAGGACAAAAGAAAAGGCTATGTTATATTTGATGGACGGTTAGATGACAACAGGGCAAGAAACAGGTATTTCACTAATGCAGGCATTTGCAGGCTGCAAGTCTTTGAGTTCTTTGCAAATGTCCAGGTTTTCACATGATGTCACAAAAATAACTACTAAAAAGAACCATGCAGACAACAGAGCGTTTTTATTTTAATAGTCTGTAGAAAGGGCGGGTTTTTCCTTTAAGCTTGCACTGATCATGAAAGTATGAACGAGTTATGTTTGAACTGAAGTCAATTTGAAGAGTAGGAAACAAGCAGTGCTTGAGTGCCTGTTGACTCAGTGCTAACCCAGGTGTACGTTCATTGATGCACCATTTAAAATTAACAGGAAAACATTCATTATTGCCATTTTCAAGTGTTCAAGTTTTAGTGTGTTTCGATTTAAATTTAAAACTTGTTGTCAACTAATTAAACAACCATACAACACGGGTGAGACTCAAGCAGTTCAAGCCTCAAGTGCTACTTACATTCAAGCACTCTGCTCAGGAAAACCCAAAGTTTTTAAAATGTGCCTTTCAACTGTTTGTCCCTTTCAAGAGCAGCACTTGAGCTGTTACCCTGCTTGTAACTGACCCAAATCCTGCTACCCTGGCCCTTGTAAAACCCCTGTGTTCTGCAGATGGTGATAATCTCCCCAGACCTCTCCACACTGTGCAGAGATAAACCTTTCTGAAGGGTGATTTGGAGCAGACACTCAGTTTAGAGACTGGGGGATTAACCTACAGGTTAACCTCTGTGGAATACACTTCTCCCCTCCCACAGCACCCCTGACAGGACACTTTTTGAACGAGACGTGCTGTGCTCATCTTTTAGCACTCTGGTTTTACAGTTTTCAGATGGTTTGACGCACTTCACCTCTACCCTCAGGAACAGGACATGCTGCCCACAGTGCTCTGGATTTTTTTTACCCCATGTATTCCATTACACAGCCAGAGCCATTTAAAACAACCCAAAGTGCCGTTTCTTTTTCAATCAAGTAACTGTTGAAAACAAGGAAAACCAGCTTCCTACGTCAAACCAGTCACAACTTATCTTTAGAGAGACTAGAATCTAATATGTCTTCATGTCAGGCATTTTTGTATATATACAAAAACAGTTTAGGATTGGTCTTGTGTTTAGAATGGTATAAAATGACACAGAAATTACCCTGTAAAACTTCCTCTGCTCTGAGTGATCTCTTCAGGCATGCTGGATTCAAGGGGAAAGTCTGCATCCTGAAGAAACCTATTCTTGACTGGCTCATCCACCCTAAAGACACTGTTCTATTGGAAGCCGTAAGACAAAAATGCCACCTATAATAAAGCTGTGTCAAAGAGTGACTATTGCCAAATCACTCTGCTTTTATAATCTTACCCTTTATACTATTTACCATTTTTCCTCCTTTTAGAATTAAAGGCTATCGAAGTTTTCTTTAGAGGTTACTTACAGCACAGAATTCTTCAAAGGATATTCTTCCATCACCATCCTTATCTGCATTAATTATGGTTTTATCTACAATTTGCTGTAACTGAGTGTCTTTGAGATTGTTCCCAACCATCATCTTCAGCACCTGGAAGAGCTCTCCATTTGAGATATACCCATCTTTGTCCATATCATAAATGCGAAAAGCAACTGCAGAAGACAGATGTATGTAAAACTTTAAGTAACAAACATGGTCAGAAAAGAGCAATATACATTCATGTGCTTTGCACTAAGCAATGACACAATCCTGCACAAACTGAGAAAAATCCTGTGTTTTAAGTGAGATTTCTGACAGCCTTGGAACCATCAGAAACAATATAATGAATGCTACTATGGAATTTAAACGAAAAACCTCACTCGAGAATTGTCAGCTGAAATAGTTCTAGCACCAGCAGTAAAATAACTTTATAAACACTGAACTGGAAAATCTTTACCACCACAAGGTAAAGCACCCACGTAGCAGCTTATTTACAAGCACAAAAAATAACAGCCTTCCAGGAAATAGATTAATCAAAATCCCACCTGGTTGTTTTGCTGCAAATCTGGCATTAACACTGAATTTATTACTTATTGGAAACTACATCCATGCATGAACCCATCCCTTCTACACTCCGAAGGCTTGGGTCACGTTGTGTTCCTCAGACACAGTTCTCAAAACAAGAACTTGGTGCTGTTCTATGACAGCAGCAAAAAAATCTGCATTACAGGAGCGTAAGACTAACATCAAAGCACATTATTACACAGTTCTGTGAAGTAAAAAAGAATGGGAAGCAACTGAAGATATTCAGAAGGCAGCCTCAAACCTTCCCCACAGAACACTGGCGAATTCTTCTACAGATGTGTACAAAATGCGTACAAAATGCGTACAATCTACCTTCATGATTTCCCACTGGATTTGCCGGTTTCTCAATGTTGACCAACAGAAGCATATTTTGGAGAACTAAGAAAATTTTGTTAAGGAAAATTCAAAATACTTACACCTCAACTTCTGTTCCTTATCTCCTTTGACACTGAACTGGGAGACTCCCTCTATAAATTCTAGAGTACAAGAAAAACATTTACAAAAAGTGTATTTTTTTTAATAAACCAAGGACATAAACATTCAGAACTTTTTAGAAACTGTAAGAAGGATCTAAATTACCCTAAAATCTTTAAAGTTTTGTGACATTTAAGTGTCCATACTTTGATACTTACGTGTTCTTTAGTAGGAAGTACTCCAAATCCAACACTGTGCTCACTGACCAGATTTGTTCACACCAGTATTTAAATAATTTTGTTGCCAGACTTTCATAAGAATCTGACCTAAAACTCTTAAGATCTCTACTAAAGCTACTCAAACGGGGATTCTAATTTTACAGCTCAAGATTATTTTCTCAAATTAAAGCAAGAATTAGACTAAAAATTAAAACTGTTCTAAAACAAATTAAAAAAAAAAATCTATTTTGCTATTGAAAAATAGAAAAAAAAGGAAAATTAACACTGTTCAACAATGATGCCATTCCAGGAGCAAACCCCTGAGTTGCCAAGAAAATAAAACCCTGGGATGTGCTGTGTCTGGTTAAGATCCTGTAAGTTTTGGGAGTTTTGGGAGTTTTGGGTAGTAAAGGTAACAACAGCGCAAAACCAGAAGCTAAACTGTGGTCAGAAAGAATATAGAGGTGCAGCAATATAGCATTAGGTTGAAAGGCCTACTCCAGTTTGAACAAGTTTTGTGACATTTAATCAACAATTCAGGTATGATTTATCAATAAAATGCTGACTGGACTATTTTAGCATTATGCTTTAAGATTAACCTAAAACAAATAAAATGTTTAGGTCTTTCAACAAGCAAAATGTAATTTTGCTTTTCTTGAATTATACAATTGTTTGGCTTGGAAAGGACCCTTAAAGCTCATCCAGTTCCAAACCCCTGCCACAGGCAGGGATACCTCCCGCTAGACCAGGTTGCTCAAAGCCTCGTGCTGCCTGGCTCTGAACACTGCCAGGGATGGGGCAGCCACAGCTTCTCTGGGCAACCTGTGCCAGTGTCTCACCACCCTCACAGTAAAGAATTTCTTCCTTACATCTAACTTAAATCTCCCCTATTCCACTTTACTATCTTTTTCCTCCAAGCTTCCATCTGACAGAAATAAATAAATTAAATGAACCAAACTTGGCCAGATGACAACAGCAGCATTCACTGCCACTTACTGCAACAGCATCATTCCACCATGGAAAATTGTTTCTGACAACTTCCTGCTCCCACCCAAGAGGGACAGCTCTCAATAATTATATTAATCACAGCTCAATGTCACATACAATATAGCATCATCTTTTATCACTGCTTATTTTTCACAAGGGGATTTTGAACAATTATATACAACAATTACTGCTTTGGAAGCGGATACCAAGACAAAGTCTCAGAACTTCAACATTCTAGTTACACTGTAGTTCTCTCTACAGAAATTTAACTGGTTTTGTAAAGGTTAGTAGCTTTTATATTTTAACATTTTATTTAAAATGTCAGCCTGTCAATAGACGTGAGATTGAAGAGCTTTCTACACTTAAAAACTGGTTAACCTTTTCTAGTCATAGAATCATAAAATAATTAGGGTTGGAAATGACCTTAAGATCACCTAGTTCCAACTTCCTTGGGCAACCCATTCCAGTGCTTCACCACCCTCACAGTAAAGAACTTCCTCCTTATATCCAATCTAAACTTCCCCTGTTTAAGTTTTAACCCATTACCCCTTGTGCTGTCACTACATTCCCTAATGAAGAGTCCCTCCCCAGCATGTTTATAGGCCCCCTTCAGACACTGAGATCTCCACGCAGCCTCCTCTTCTCCAGGGTGAACAGCCACAACTTTCTCAGCCTGTCTTCCTATGTCATGGGCAACAAGAGATACAAAGTATTACCTTGAACAGAAGTTACAAACATCATCACTTCTAAGGGTCAGAGGCTGTTTTAACACCAACCAATAGTGAAGATGTTTAATCTGCTGGCCCTTCTAATCACAAGTATTTAAGATAAGACTAAATTTTGGAAGAACATACTAAATCAAAACTTGCAGTTTTCACTTGAAGGGCCTACCTAAAATAATCCTGTACAGGAAGTGTCAACAGAAAAATCTGGACCACTTCCTCAATTTTGAAAGCTTTTTCAAAATACTCCCAAGAAAAGACAGATCGAACATTTGGGTAAGTACAGCTTCTGGACAGACACACCACTCACAGTCTACCCACTTTTTCAGTCTCTTCAGCGTAAGAATATACTTCAGATTAGCACCACAATGAAGAGTCTGAATTACTGCACTTCAAGGGATACTTCATGAGCAGTCCTAACTGAGTATGCCCTGGAAAGCTATGACTAAACAATACGCTTTTTTAAGCATTTTGCTCAGGAGTGCTCTAATGTGCCAGAGAAACTAGTTGTACTGGAATTCAGTTCCACAAGCAATTAGGACCTTATTTTGATTAACAAGTTTTTTTCCTCCCCTCTCCTCTCACCATAATCAAGATTTGAATTCTTAAGCTCCAGAAATTCTGATAAACAGACACAAAGCGCCATGTCTTACCTTTGAAGTCCACTTCTCCATTTCCATCTGTGTCAAATATATCTATTACTCGCTGTACTAATGGATTCTGTTGCAATTCAGGTAAAGACATGAACTCTTCCACGCTCAAAGAACCAGAGTTGTCCAAATCAAGCTTCTTAAATCTCTTTCCTAGCCGTTTGATTTCATCAGCATCAACTGAAAGGGGAAAAAAAACCAACAGCTATTCTCAGAAAGGCTTCGGTAAACCCTTTGCCAGTTAAACACAATGCACATTTCATTGCCTTCCTACCAGAATTTCTCCTAGTTTACTACAACTATTAAAACACTCCTGGAAGATTATAAAGATAAAATCAAACTAAAGACAAACACAAGCCTTTCCATTTTTTGTTTTAAATAAGCCTTACCTTTTTTCCTCCCTGCATCAGCCATAATACAGTTAGCCTCGTGACTCCCTGGATACCCCATGCTGACACAACATGTTTAAGGATTGAGGGTGCTTAGCTAGTTCTTAGTCAGACAGCTCTTACAAATACCAGGTATGAAGAAATTAAGGATGAGAGGGAGTTTTCTTTGAAGGCTGTAGCACTACAGCTAACCAAGGCTAACACATCAGAAAATCTATTAGTAAGCATATTAGCAAAACTACTGATTCTTCAGCACACCAAACATGGGATCTCTTGGGCTGCATGCCAAGTGAAGCTGGTTAACACAGTCCCACTGTTGACCAGTTATCACTCAAAACATCACCCAGACAAGACCCAAGATTAAGTTTTTTAATCCATCTCAAGCATGAAGCAGGCATACCTGTAGCCACAACCTGCACACATCAATTTTTGTTGTTCCAGAGCTTCCAAGCCATTTCAGATCCTGCAGCAGCACCACTTATTTATCCTCTGCAATTTATAAAGGATCTCAACCTTACATTTCAGACTTTGCCAGGAACAGACTAAGTCTGTGAATACATTAAAATGATTAAAAAGAATCTTGTACTCTGTTACTACTGAAAAGCTGAAAAAAGTTTCCCCACAACAACCAGAAAGTTCCCTATCAGCAGCTTCAGTTACAACACCAAAGTTAGTTCATTAACTGCTTACCATGTTCGGGTATGAAGGAGGAACCAAGAGTCCTAGGAAGTCCTAGAAAGCACCCAGCACACAGTAAACAACACACCGTATAGAACCTGCAGCTTTCCAACTCCCTACACCAATGCCTTTGGCAACATGAATAGTCTCCTTAACATTTCTAAGATCTGTTTAGTGCATTTGCTCCAACAGTAACAGAAATTGCTTCTCAACTTCTACAAGGCACATACAGATCACCAGATCCACTTTCCATCATATTAACACCTCCTTGTCTTTTGTAAAAGTGCAGCATAAAACCAAACAGCACTTACTCTTTCCAATACATAAGGTCAAGCCAACATGCAGAGCTTTACGTTTGGAAATTGTAGCCTATTCAAAGACCTGATCCTTTACCAAAGCAGTAGTGAACTTCCACTTAAACTTCTCGGTATCTTTCTTGAAAAAACCAACTAGACACAAACCCAGAGATGTTCACAACTGTGCTATTTCACAATGAAAGGCAAAGAACACGCAAGAAATCCAGCAGCACAAGATGATCTTCTGTTATGGCTTTTTTTTTTTGCCTAAATAGTAAATTCTGACATGCTGCTGTTAGTCAATCTTGGTAACTCTTTGCCAACTGCTGAGGCAGAGAGCAAAAAAGGTTCAGTACTCCCAGAACAATCTTCCCCTTTGCTGTACCAGCAAGTGACAGATCTGATTCTGCCTCTAGGGCTATAAAAATAAGGCTAAACAGCATCTGCAGAGGCTTACAAGTTTTTTCCTCGGTTTCTAGTCTGCAATTTGGTATTTCAATTAATTAGGCTCTCAACTACATTAAAGCTACATTCTTTTGTCCACCAGCTTACGTGGTAGCCTAGTACATGACTGAAGGTGTGCCCTTAACAGCACGACACTGCACTGCAGGATCAGGAGCACATTACTGTTGGCATAACTACACAGAACCAGCTTCCCTCCCAGATCATGCAAAAGGTGCCATACCACCACAGGGTAAGCTGTGTACAGAACATAATGATGAGACTAAAAGGCAACAGTATAAAGAGAATGGCAAAGCAAAGCTGACAATTAGCCTCTACAGTTGCTTATGAGTTCATCAGCACAAAATGCTGCTTCTTACCAATATACTGAAGGTATCTGCCAACTCTTGATTCTGCCCACAGTAACTCTTGGGTTTCCATTTTCCTCACAATCTTAAAACAGTAAATGGAGTCAGACTTTGAAATGGTTGGCTCAGTCTGCCTTCACTCCCTGCCCTGCTGCCAGAAAGCTGTTGGACCCACTGGAGTTTAATACAAAGCTGGCACCCTGGCAAGCTGTGAACATGGGAACCTCATTTCTACTGCAAGCTCTACTCCAGAGTTGCAACTCCCACAGGAGTTAATGTCCCTCCCCCCAAAAAATCCTCACAACATTTGAAAAAGCACAAAAACATTAAGCATGGCTCGTCACACAACATATGTAAATGCATTTTCCAATGTAAAATGCATGTTTGAATAGACATAATTTATACCTGTATTACAATAACGCACATAAGGACTTGTCCAGCCAGCACATCAGTCTCCCTCGACTTTTATTAGTCATGGTTAACATGTTGTCCTGGTCCAACCAAAACTCTCCTGCTCCCCTATCTGGACTCAGAAATCAAGACTGACTACATCTTTCACGTAACTCACCGTTATTTCGTAAACACAAATCCCTCAAATGATCTATTTTGAAATCAGAAGTTTGCAATTGCATCTAGATCTCATGCCAAGAAACCCTGAAATAAGACCTGTGACAGCCATGAGAACTATTTCCTAGTGGGAAAAACAAGAGCAACGAAAGGTACATGAATTATTTCTTTAAAAAACAAATTCACTTTAATAAAACTAAACAGCAAATGGAAAGTATTACCTGTAGTGTATATAACGTGCTGTCATCCCCCTACCAGATCAGTGAACTCCCACTTTCAATATTAAGATTAGCACTGACTAAAATGGAACAATTTAAGCCACCTAAGCAACCTCAAATACATTATAGTTCTACCATTTCACAGAATCAGAACGGAGAAAAATGAAAGCAGCATTAACACAGAAGCATCTCTTCTACCTTGCCACACAAACTAAAGAGTTAAGGAACTGCAAGCTCTGAAACATTTCTAACTTACACTTAAGAAAACCCTAACACGAGAACACAACAATGACATTTTTACAAATCAGGATGTAAAACACCAGGACTAAAGACCAGCCGGCATTACCAGCATAATTTTCTCAGAAGCAGCATTAACCAAAGTCTTGTTTCATAACTCCAGTTCATCTCCTGGTTTGGGAGCTAAAGGTTAGGGTTGGAAAGGACCTTAAGGTCATCTAGTTCCAACCCATTTACTTTTCCTCACAAATATATAAGCAAAGACTGAAAGTGAGACCTAGAGTTCTGTTAGTGTTCTCCTATTAACTGAAGCTAATTACCACACATGCAAGTCAGTCAAGCACTGGTCCACAGCTTTAAATTACTCCAGCTGGCACAGAAGACAGACAAGATCAACTATGCCATCACATTTGCCTGCTGAAGCAGAGAGCTAAAATCTTCCATGCAAGATGTGCTACAAAAACTTTTGCCAGAAAGGTACTTTGTATTTCAAGCTGACCTATCCCTAGCAGGGACCTACCAATATGAATGAAGTAAGGAATAAAATTTAATAAAATTTAATAAAATAAAATAAAATTTACTGGTGCATTCAGAAACTGATCCACCAGAGTGTTAAAATGAATGCTACAATGAAGACACACACTCTGCCATCATCTGGCTGGGCACAAGAACCACAGTTCAAACAGTCTGGCATTCACAATTAGCCTGATAGTAAAATGTGCAAACCAGCAATGCTTAAGAGAAGCTAAAGCGCTGATTTGTTTCTGCTAAAGATGGTACTCAAAGAGGCCAAGATTACGGATAATAAAAACAAGAATCAGATGATGGCAAGGAGAAGAGGTCACATAAGACTATTTCTCAAGAATGTTCTTTTATGTTTTGCGGAAGGGCAACAAAGCAATGACTGCCTGAATTATGAAATTAAAGAGTCTTCATACTTTGAAAATGTTCATTTCTCTTTCTCCACATATACACACATACAATGATACCTCATACAGTCAATCCATTCAACTACAATACAGTCCAGGTACAGAACTGTAGCAGCATTTCCTACTAGAAATGGGATTATAAATTTCTCATTTTAAACCCTGAAACATTCAAGCAAAGCATCTGCCTACACTAGTGATCTGAGAGAAGTTCTACTCTTGGGGGGAAAAAACAAGTCAAGAACAGTAAAGAAAAACTTAGTATCTCTGCCAAAAGCTGACCAAATATCAAATTTAGTCCAGTGTTTTGTTTCTGGCAGTGGACACGCTTTGGAGGAGAGTACTTGGAGGAGGAAATAAGGAAAAAGCAAAGTAATTACAGGAATAGGAAAATTTCCTTTAACAGTTCACGGGCATAAAACCCTCCGTTCATAACTAACATATGGATGAAAACAACATCTGCAGATCAGTGTTTCATAACTGACTCTATGAGAATTTCCTATCAGAACAATTTCATTATTTTTTCCTTAAATACACTGTGAGCATCTCACCTACCTTTAAAATCCTTTCTACAAGCAGAAATGTAACAAGCTTAGAAAAGATAAATCAGTATTTCAGTAACAACTTCGTCATTGTGAAATAGCTTTAAAAATAAAGTAAGAACATAAAATAAGGGCTGAAAGCATTTGAGTATAAGCTTTCAATTTGCATTGGTTTTGTCTAGTCTTTCCTCGAGTCACAGCCATAATTTCTACTGACTCTCTTCCTGGAATAAGCTTACCCGAAAACCATGTAGGTTTTCTGGGGTTTGAGGCTTGTTCCATTTGCTTTGTTTGGGTTTTGTTTTTATTTGTTGGTTTTGGTTTTTTTTTTTAATTAAAAAAAAACATTTATGTATAACAGCAGATTTCAATAATACCCTATTTATTTTTTGTTCAGATCTCCTCCCTGAATATGCATATACAACAGCCCTCATCTATGATGATGTGCCCCTCTCACAAGAGCACTTTTTCCTCAGTGTTTAGCAGCAGAGTAGTCTTTCTTAACATGTCACTGAAAAGCAGAGTACTGAGCAACATTTTCAGAGCCTGAACAAAATACACTTCTTTTCCTCCTCTGAAGGCTCCTTACAGACAACCTAATGTCCACACAAACACCCTGAAGCTATATGGGAAACACCAGGCACAAGACAGTTCAGATACAGTAAAGGTTTCCGAGCTGGAAGGACTGATGGTGGCAGCAGCAAGCAGAATTTTACAAGACAAGCTCAGGAGACCAGGACAGAGATGAAAACGCTAGGAAATCCAAGGAAGTTCTACTCCAGGAGGTTCCAAGTCCACAATAGTGTAAAAAGGGCAGTAACATCCCTTGAGCAAAATAAGGAGGCTCAAGCTTTGTTTACATCATTTGAAGCAGAGTTTGCCTCTGACTCACGACAGGGGACTGAGCTTCCTTCAGCTCTGGCTGCAGTGGGCATTCCTCTAGCCTCGAACTCAAGTTAGCCTTTCCTGTGCTTTGCCCACCAGCTGACACCAGGCTCTGTGATACCTTATGCTTTTCACCAGAATCAGGAGTGTCCAACGGTAGTGATGGTAGTAGCTCTGTGCTACCTTATGCTTTTCACCAGAATCAGGAGTGTCCAATGGTAGCTTACAAATTTACCTGGCTGGAAATGACACCTGCAAACTGTTTTTCTTTACAAGGCTTTGCTGGCAGCCCTGTAGAAACATCAAATTATTCACTATTTTAAAGCACACTTTATTTCATAATCCATTGTGAATTTCACTCACCTTGTAACTAACACAGTAAGGTGGAGGGTTTTAAGCATTTCCAGTATTACGGATCTTTTGTTAAAGAACTATCCATATTTTTAAAAGACTCCTCTTCCATCCAAGTATTAAAATTCTATAGCAAACAACACCTGCTTTGTCATTCATTTGCATATACCAGGTTTAAATGCAAGGACTCCATGCTTCCAAGAAATTACACGCAAATGCTCTGTCTAGCTCCCATTTTAGTACACAAAATTTCCTTCCAGTTGGATACTAATATATTGACACCTACAAGTGAATCCTCTGCTCCTTTCCCCCAACACAACAGCAGAGGATGATCCATTGTAGAATCACAGAAGAGTTGCAGTGGGAAAGGACCACAAGTCATCGAATTCCAACTCCCCTGCCATGCTATGTTTTAAAATAACTGTTTGTTTCAAGCTGTTATTTACATAACTGATGCTCAGTACTGTAAAAAGCATTCAAGTGGCAACTCAAAAAGCTTCATTAAAAACAAATTTCTGGAGTGCAGCAAGTGCTCTGCACTGAAAAAAAAAGGGATGTCAAAAAATGTAATCATATTTTCCAGACAATGTTAAGTTACATGGTTATCTTTCCATTAATATGATAACCCAAAGCAAAGAAGGTCTGAAAAATACAAATCTCTCTGAAATCCACTGCAGTGATATTTAACAGGAAAACTGCTTATATATTCAGAAGCACTGTACATCCGTTGCTGCAGAATGCACAACACTTTAACAGGTATCTGTGAAGCATACAAACCTTCAAAGAGCTGGATATTTCTCGGCAGAGGTGCTGAGCACTCCTGAAATCTAAGTAGTTACCTAAGCTTTTAAACCTGTATTTAAGAGGCTGGTTTTCAGGTAGTCTTAAAATACTGGCTTATTGGCAGAAACTTATAAATAACGAAAACCAGACCAAAGTGCAGACACAGATAGTTGAGTTTCCACATATTTTTCAAAGATGAGGTCATTATAAACAAGATTATTGCTAAGGTATTTGAAGATTTCTGTAAATAAAACATGCTCTGAAATTGGTTTTAAATGTTCCCAGGTTAAAAAATAAAATGAGTATTTCCCTCCCCTCCATAAAAATGGATTGCAGAGATCTCAAAATAAAAGAGACCTTCAGCAAAAGCCCTCACCTCTGTCTAGAGTCTGGTCTGATTCAGTAATATAATGTTTCAGAACTCAGCCAAGACAGCCATTTCAGTCTTGGAGATCAGATTTCAAAAAGATGACGCCCTTGAGAACACACTCGACCACTTGTCTTGTATATGCTTACATGCAGCTGGCCTGATCCTTTTCATGACTTCAGATGTGTCAATTACAATTTCCTAAGTTGAAGAAGAGACACTAGCCTCCTTATCCTAAAACCAAAACATACTATAAAACTCTTTATACTACAAATACTATACTATAAACTGTTTTCTATTACAAGATACTGTACTGTAAAATACTGTTTACTACGAAACAGTTTTCTTCCCAGTTCTCTGCTATGATAAAATTGTCTCATGGATGATTTTATATTGCTTGGTTGAAGACAAATTACCACCAGGTAAAAAAGTATTAGATTTTCAGTGATTTCTTAGACGCAGCACAGCCGAGAAGCAAGTCCATACTCTTTAAGGACTCCAACAATCCCAATTCACCCACTGAAGAGAACAGATGTTCTAAAATGAAGGGCAAAAATAATATTCTCAACTATTTAATAGTGTGCATCCTCTGCATAGTATCCTGAATTTGCTTCCTGGAACTGCCAAATTTAAAACAAAATTATTCTTATAAAACAAGATACCAAAAAAGCGACTGCACCACCAAGCAGAGGTTGTGACCTGATGCCACCGTGCTGACAGCATAAAGACATTATTACTGGCAGCTTCCCAAAAGGCTAACCATTCAGACTCTATCAAATGGTCTTAAACATTGATTGGTCTTGCCCTGGAAAGCATTTTTCTTGTCAATAACAAGTACTTGGAAACAGCACAAACATTTGATACTTGAAGAACAAGGTGAATACATACTGAGTGGACTTAGGGACATGCTACTGTACACATCTGTGTCCCAAAACAAACAAGCTCTTTCAAGCTTTTCAGGCATGCAAAATCTTTTAAGCACAGTGTGATCATAGAATAGTTAGGGTTGGAAAAGACCTTACGACAATCTAGTTCCAACCCCCCTACCACGGGCAGGGACACTTCACGCTAAACCATGTCACCCAAAGCTCTGTCCAACCTGGCCTTGAACACCACCAGGGATGGAGCATTCACAGCTTCCCTGGGCAACCCATTCCAGTGCCTTGCCACCCTCACAGTAAAGAACTTTTTCCTTATATCCAATCTAAACTTCCCCTGTTTAAGTTTTAACCCCTTACCCCTTGTCCTGTCACTACAGTCCCTAATGAAGAATCCCTCTCCAGCATCCCTACAGGCCCCCTTCAGATACTGGAAGGCTGCTATGAGGTCTCCACGCAGCCTTCTCTTCTCCAGGCTGAACAGCCCCAACTTCCTCAGCCTGTCTTCATACAGGAGGTGCTCCAGTCCCCTGATCATCCTTGTGGCCCTTCTCTGGACTTGTTCCAATGGTTCCATGTCCTTTTTATGTTGAGGACACCAGAACTGCACACAATACTCCAGGTGAGGTCTCATGAGAGCAGAGGAGCAAGAGCACCTCCTTCGACCTATCATTGCAGTGATAAGGCACAATCAAGCAAAGGAAATGCCTGTGGTAACTACACCTTCCCTAGTGTATGCAGTTGGGTTGCTCAAAGCAGCAGCTCACTTTCTGTGAGAAGGGTCACTGAAGCAGAAAAAGCTTGGAAGTGTGAAATCTCAGATTTACACAACGATATCCTCTACATAGTTTAACAACAGAAAGTGATGATGAAATCTCCTCTTTCTTTGCAATAAGAGGGGTCAAATAAGCTCAGTTAATAAAACCTTAGGTTGGCAGTTGGTACCAATGACCATAGCTTTTCCTACAATCAGAAGTTAAGGATGGCAACACACTGCTTACAACTCTGGCAGAGATGTATCTAGTTAAAAAATAAAATCTTCAGAAGGCAGTTTGTCTGTAAAGAAAAACTGGCCAATGGTGCAGTCTCCCAGCTGTGATACACACAGTTCTGGAAAAGAGTACCAAAATCTTCATCAAATACACAACTTCCACCCACATGCCCATATTTATCAAAATATACACTGAGAGCATAACACAGCAATGCAGTGCTGTGGATAAGATTCTCAAGTGTTTTCAAACTGATGACTCAAAATTATAATTCATGTGGACATGTGTATTGGCAGAGAGGACTTGCACATTACTGAAGCCTCATTTCCCTGAAAAGCGTATTTAGAAAAAAGATTCCTCCGTGATCATTTATTTTCTATTACCATTTGACTTTTGTGAGCTGGAGTTCAGTTATGATTAATGTTGTGAAAGTAATTTAGAAAACATTCCTTATCTTGAAGAATTTATTTTCCTGTTTATAAACAAGATCTGATTCCCTAAAGATGAGGAATCTTATCAGGCAGCCCATACACACATACACAGGTCTACACATGATTTAGTGCTGAAGAAAAACATTCAAGTTAAAAAAGCAGTTAAAAATAAGCATAACACCACAGGGACATTTCACAAGACAGCCCTTTCTTTGGGCAGCTTTAAGCAAGCAATACTTTGTTATTTTTACAGGGCAGAATAACCCCACGAGACAGAGCAATGAAGTTTACACTCACATGGCCAAAAGCAAGTAACACCAAGGGGCTTCTCACCTAAATGCCTGGCTGCAAGCACACACAGGGAAAGAAATGCTCGTTTAGCCTCCATCTCTTTTCTCTGAGGGTGCAAAGCCAGCTCAGGCAATACAGTTCACTCCTAACACAGCACACACCACACCACCAACTGCTGTTCCACATCTCTGTGGAACTGGGGCTGGTGGAGAAGCCCCACCAGTTCTGCTACTGGTTGTAACACTTCATTGTTTTTTTTTAAGATGGACTGTTTTTTGATTTACAAACCAACAGCAAAAGCTGTATTATTTCTAGAGATAATATTTCACCTTTTAATTTTGCTCTTTTGGTTAGTATATAAAGTGAGTAACACTTCAAGCAGGAAACTGATACATGAAAGCTGTGTATGTCTATCTCCAAATAAGATTAACCTAAGAATATGAAGTAGCAATTACACTTACAGTGCGAGCACATTTCCAAGGGGTAGCTTGCCTCATTTCCCTGAAACACAAAAAAAGAACAAAGTTGCTGTTATTCCTGAATTGGCTTAGAGGAACTATTTTAAGTTTCAGCACTGTAAAGATCTCAAGCAATACAAGTTACATGGTTATTTAAATGTGTATGTGTATTTTAAATCCAACAACCATGGTCAGTGTTTTATTTGGATAGGTCTATGTTACCAAAACATACAAAGAAATGTAAAAGCATTGTGAGGTCTCCTCTGATGAGAGTTCCCATGAAAATATCAGCAGTCCACACAGTAAGAACTCCAATCCCATATTCTACGCTCCAAAACCCAAACTCACAGCTTGTATGTTGTGCAAGCGCTACTTTTCATGTCAGAATAATATTTAATTTCAAAACTTCGCATAATGTGCTTTACCATTTTATTGGATTCACAGAGTCACATCCTTATGAATCATGATGACAAATGTTACTCAGTAAGGATAAGAAAACTAGCATGTTTTCTCCTCTCAGCCACCTGCCCATTCCCCCCATAAAGGATTCACAAAGGAAGAATGATGCAAAAAAGCAGTTTACATGAGCAGAAATTCAGACATACCAGCTTTACACTTATTTTTGCAATAGACTATGTTAGTATGTTCCTGTTTTGTAGCTGAATGGGAAGTTAAACCAAGAGTTTAAATCCTTGCTGCACTACAACACAGTCATAGGAAGAAAAGTTCAAACTTTGAGGGTACAGTCACTTTGAATTCACGCATCCTGAAATCTGCAACTACTGCAACACAAACGCCAAAAGACACTAAAATTAAAAGGTGGTATTTTTCCCAAAGGCCTCACTTTGAACCGGAGAAGAACACAGTACACACATGCTTAATGTTTTTTCGTGATCAGTCAGCAAAGAAGTGAACAGGTAACTGAAGAGATTCATAACCAAACATCTTCAAAAGATTATTTTTAAGGGAGTGTTTTATACAAGAAAGCAAAACATATTTAAGATGAGTCTAAGACACATTCTATCCAGCAGTGATTCTCTTGCAATGTGGAGCACAAGGGATTCCATAGGTGAGCACTTGCATAGGAAGACCTCTCAAAAATGATACAAAATTGAACAAAAATACAGAGATTACTTGACAGAAGGGGGAATTAAAAAAAAAAAAAAAAAAGGAGGAACTACATTTAGCCTGGAAGCATGCATCTGCATTTCCTAATAAGGACAGGAAGGAGCAGAACATCTCATGAATCTAAACATGTCCAAGAGATGTGTTGATGGGGGGGACTGTTTGCTTTTTTTACCTCCAGAACACATTCACTTCACTTATCCCCCACAATCCACAAGCACTCTTGCTTCTTTAAAAAGTTAATACCATGTGCTTTGTAAGAGGAGCAGGAGAAGATACAGCCTTCACTTCTCTAGTGTCTGCTTACAGCAAGACAAAGTAGCAGAATAAGAATGCAGAGGAGGACCATCAGGTTCCTGAAATCTCCAAAGCATAACTGAGATATTTACAAGAGAAACTTATTCCACTGTGGCATCGAATCCAACACAACAGTGCCATGTGGAAAATATTGGATGGAACCCAAGTCTTAGAAAAACCAGTGAAGACCAAAACAGGTAGTAAAAGCCTAGTGTATGTATATGGATATAAAAGGGTAGGGGGTATAAAACGGGTGAAAGCAGAATTTTGAAACAAGAAGAAACAGGAACCAGGGGATCCAGCTAGGCTGCTCAAGACACGAGGTCATGAAGAGGCAAGAAAAACACCAGACTGGAAAGCTGCAAATTAAAGGAGAAAGTTGAATTAAAACCAGTGCACTTATGCACACACAAATATACAATCGTTACTACATTATAAGACTGTTCATCAGGGCACTTGCATCCTTGTTCAAGTGTTGGCAAACAGTTAATTTCTAGTAAAAGCTGCTAGAAGCAATCTGCCTAGAAGCATAAAACGCTTCTGAAAACTGAGCACAAAAAATTAAAACACAGAAATAACTTTTTTTCTGTTCACAAACTAAGTGTAATGTTCATAAGGAGTCTTACTATGCATCTAGATGCCATAATCAAATTATCTAAAGGACGTATCAAAAATACATGGAGAACAAAGAAAAAGTGAATAAACCTCAGCTTAATTTTTCTGTGTAAATTACTGCTAAAAAGTGTTAAGAATACTTACCTATCCAGGACTGGAACTTGGATATCTACAAAAACACAGAAAAATCTAGTAAGTAAAAATATAAAACCCACACAATTATTCAGTATTTGTTACACAGTATTCAAATAAGGTGTTTTAAAAAGTAGTTACCTGCTATGATATGCCAAGTGTTCATCTTCACAGGAGAATCCAAAAGTCTAAGTTTTAAAGATTTTAATCTGTTTTTTTTCTTCCTTTTGTATAAATAAATGTCGAAGCTACTCATGCCAAGATTCCTGTTTGCGCAGCTGTGACCTGGACAAACACAAAGGTGTTCCTCTATGCCAAAGACCTGATCCTCAAAGACGAAGATTAATGATTTGGGTCTGGGGGGCAGGCATTTTCCATCATGTTCTGAACAGCAATACAAAAATGTCACTTGTTTGTTCCCAAGTACAATCAGTACATGTACACGCTCTAGGAAATGCAAATACAATATAAGCCCTGAAACACAAGCACTAAATAGGTCAAGTATTTTCTTGCTGTTTAAGAACAGGCAAGTAGTAGTTCAGCAAAGTAACACTTCACAGATGTATTTATTTATAGTTTTCAAACTATATTAATTTATACAGACAAAAGTCCCTGTAAAATCTCCAAACAGCACATTATTTCACCTCTGATGCAGAGAAGTCAATTTATACAAATGACTGTAAAGTAACAAGGTTCTAATACAAGATTGCCAACTTTAAAAAATGATTATAACGTTAGTATTTCCTGCCAGATGTATACTTAGAACACCTCACCATGAAGAGTATCTTTACGTATACAGTATATTAGCACATTTAGAAATGACTGACACATGGTTTGTTGAAGAAACATAGCTTTTACAGCATCAACACTCAACAGCAGATGCAGATTTACTTGGCACCTAAGCCTAGTATAAACCATGTTTTCCTCAACTGCATCTAGACAGCAGTACTATCACACTGCTGGAGTGGCAATAGCTTCTCTCGAGTTACACAATTAGAACAAGTGGCTGGAATATTACAAATACTTTGAATAGCCTTATTATTTTAGAAGCCTTGACATTTTCCTGAATGCTGCTAGATCCCTTCAAGTTATTCCTGGTTAAACAGCAGCAAAATCATTACGTATACACGGAAGCAATTACAGATGAAGGAACAGTCCAGAGTCTACCAACAGAATGCTGACCAAACACTGAATACTGCAGAAGTACCATTTTACTAGAGAGAAGTTAAAATATGTCACTAAAGTATTTCAGTTTATATAACATGTAGTTTATTCCTTTAAGAAAAACTGTTCTTTTCAATTTTATTCTCCAATTATTGTTCTATGTTCTATGATTCTATGATTATCTTCTTTTTCTCCTTTTCAGCAGCTGTGCCTTTTTACTGATAAGACTGGACAAGCCAGTAAGAATAACCTCTTACTGGACTTAAGTCTGTATTTCTTCTGTAAATTACCCATAAAAATGGGTAATGTTTCTTGATTTATCTTTCTTTGGTAGTTACTTCGAATACTAATCTCTTAAAATCAGTTTTCTACATGCTCCTCCAAGGTAGGATAGTTAAGTGCAATTATCTTGACAAGTTTCCTCTTAGTGAAAGACATGAAGAGCTGTGGATAGAAAATAAAAAAGGAAATCCGCAATTAGCAAAATTAGGAACAGAATCTAAATTCTTAGTTGAAAGTGTTTTACAAAACAGCTTGTACACAGTAAGACATCAGACTGCAAAACAGTTCTTCAGCACACATTAGAAGAATACACCTCCTGAATCAGTTTGTCTGCATGCTACCTTTCAGCATGATCTACAGCTTTTTGTAAATAGCTGACACTTAAATTAGTATCAGCCTTCAGTTCGTTTTCTGCTTCTATAAAAGCAGAAACTGTGTTTAAAGGCCAGCAAGCCACAATGTCAGCTTAGGATTCATCTCTAACACAGTCCTCAAAAGGTGGTGTGCGAATGACTATAAATACAAATGAACTCTTGGAACAGTTTAAAGTTACACTGTTTCAAAGCTTTTGTTTTTACAGCAAGACAATGAATTAACGGGACAAGTGTCAAGAATGGTCTCCTAAGATCTGTTTAGTACATGTACAGGAGTAGTTGTCAGAGATTTACTATTTCTGAAGCAACATACAAAAAAGCATAATAAGCTCATCCTTGCTGTAAATGGTCTTAAACATGCAAACTGCCCTGACAGTGCTGTTGGCTGTTACCACCCATGGCTGTTAGACCTATGCACCAAAGCTTCACATAGAAACAAAATGGCTTTAAGATAATAGAGGGCAGATTTAGATTAAATGTTAGAAAGGAAGTCTTCACTATGAGGGTGGTGAGACACTGGCACAGGTTGCCCAGAGAAGCTGTGGCTGCCCAATCCCTGTCAATGTTCAAGGCCAGGTTGGACAGGGCTTGGAGCACCCTGGTCTAGTGGAAGGTATCCCTGCTTATGACAGAGGGATTAGAACTGGATGAGCTTTAAGGTCCCTTCCAACCCGAATCATTCTACCATTCTACGATTACTAATGTTTCTGCATTCGTGTTTTTGTGCATGCACACCTCACCGGGTGTTATCAAGACATTACATGTTGTGCTTCCTATATTTGCTCCTGAACCTTCCACACTATTACCTTTGTTATCACAAGAAAGAAGTTACAGTGTGCAAGTGAAACAGTTAACCAAACTATGTCAGCTGGGGGGGAAGAACTAGGGATCATCAAGATAATCAGCTTCAGTTCTCAAGTTAGACAAAATGGTGTTTTGCATCATCCACTACTACAACTGGACAGGAATGGGAGTAGTAAGAAAAAAGATGGCAGAAGGTAGGCAAACCTACTCAAAAGACCTTTCTTCCTCTTCCACAGACAAAAATGCTTCTCTATCTTTTCACATTCTTCTTCATTAACAAGGACTTACGGAAATTACCTGTTGCAGAGAATTCTTCCTCTTCCTCATCCTCCTTTGAGTTCATTTTCCATGCTTTGCCATTTTCATACAGCTTTAACAATGAAGAACTGCCAGCTTGGTGAAGAGAAGTTTGGGTTTGGTGACAGTGACTGCTGTTTAACAAGTTACTAAAGCTTTGACTGTCATGGGTCAGCACCATGTTCTTCAAACACCAGACAAGTCGGCAAACTAAAAAGGATGGTATTTGTTATCAAGGATCTAAAAACTTTTGCATTAATAGAACATTCCACAGGTACATCCACACTGCTTTAAATATGTATTAATATCAGATGAAGCTCAGGAAGCTGTAAGTCACTTCAGTATTTCAATTTCTGAATCAGATGTTGGTCACAGAAACATGCAAGATCTCACGTACTGTAATCTGTACATTTCATATGTGACTTACTGGAGCAATTGAAGCCTAAAAGGCTTACCAGAGCACAGATGAAAGATGTGCCCACAGTCTCTGTAGGCACCACACGAAACATGGCTTAAAACAAGACAAACAAGAACAAAGTCTGAGTGGAAAAAGCAGCAAGAGAAACACCTTCATCTACCACATTCAGAAATGGGGGGGGGGGGAGGAGCAAACTAAAACAACAACAAAACCATCACTGTAACACCCTCAAAAAAATTACTCAATACAGAGAAGCAGTGTCTTAGCCCAAC